TGGCTACTGGTTTGTCTATTTTATTTATCTTCTCAAAGAACCAGCTTTTAGTTTTGTTGATGTTTGCTATAGTCTCCTTCATTAATTTTTCACTTATTTCTTCTCTCGTTTTTATGATTTCTTTCCTTATGCTAACTTTGGGGTTCTTCTTTTCTTTTTCTAGTTGCTTTAGGTGTAAAGTTAGGTTGTTTATTTGATGTTTTTCTTCTTTCTTGAGGTAGACTTGTATTGCTATGAACCTCCCTCTTATGGATTTAACTGAATCCCATAGGTTTCTGGTTGTCATGTTTTCATTTTCATTTGTTTCTATGCATATTTTGATTTCCTTTTTGATTTTTTCCATGATCTGTTGATTATTCAGAAGCATGTTGTTTAGTTTCCATATGTTTGTTTTTTATAGTTCTTTTCCCCCCTGTAGTTGGTATGTACATTGTGATCAGAAAAAAAGCTTGAAATTATTTAAATTTTTAAAAATTTGCCAAGGCTAGATTTTTGGCCCAGGATGTGATCTGTCGTGGAGAATGTTCCATGTGCACTTGAGAAAAAGGTGAAATCTACTATTTTGGGTTGAAATACCCTGTAAATAGCAATTAGGTCTAACTGGTCCATTGTATAGTTTAAAGCTTGTGTTTCCTTGCTAATTTTCTGTTTGGTTGATCTATCTATAGGAGTGAGTGGGGTATTAAATTCCCCACTATTATTGGGAACACTTTTTTTGTATCTAAATAAACAATTCAGTTCATGTACAAGGGGAAAATTATAGCAGTAGACATTGCATTGTTCCCCTGGAGTGTTTTCCTATTTCATTAAAATATTCATAAAATGAATACTTCCATCTGTTTGTGCCTTAGCTATTGTGAATGGTGCTTCAGTGAACATCTTTGCATGGCCAGATGTGTCTGCATCTCTGATTATTTCTTTTGAATAGATTTAAAAGGTTATTGATCATACAGTTATGAACATTTATGGTTCTAACAGACACATTGCTAAATTGCTTATTGAAAGAGTAAAGCAGTTTACATTCTAACCAGTAGTACATAGGAATAGATATGTGTCATTGCCAGGAATTGTTTTTATTTTAAAGGTAGAAATAAGATGAATGGAGAAAGCATGATATCTCTTGGATATACTTGTTTAGGAAAGAATTAAATTTTTTCACAGAATGTGGGGGTGAACTCCATTATAGGTGTTTAATATTTTGTTAGTCGTGACCTTTCACTTTTTTAGCATTGAGGTAATGGGGGGCCAGTCAGAAGAGAAAATCTTATAAAAAAGTTTGGCCATGTAATTTACCACAGAGGTGTTCAGGTATTTATGTGAGCTAGTTCTGAGTTTCTGTTGTGATTTATACACTTGGCTCCTTTTTATTATCCAGCCTGAAGAAAATTCGTGGCAAAGTCTGGAAGCAGAGAATATCTAGCCCTCTGTTCAACACCAAACAATACACAATGGAACTAGAGAGGCTGTATCTACAGATGTGGGAGCATTATGCAGCTGGCAACAAACCTGATCACATGATTAAGCCTGTTGAAGTCACTGAGTCTGCCTAAATAAAGACACCATGTACACAGGAGAATTACCCCATACCTGAGCCTCAACCTTCTGGTGAAAGGGAACTAAATATGTACTTTTTACTTATCTGTATGGTATCATGTTGCAGATGGGTGACAAATAATGATAATACAATAGCACAGCCAGACTTGCTTCCTGCATGATAGGGAGAGACACTGGAGATGGAAAACTGCTATTCTACAAGGAGTCTCCATAGGATTTTGCAGCAACCAGGTGGTGCATAGGTCTGGAAGGTCTGATCTCCCTTGGTCTTCCATGGGATGGATAGTGTGGAGGGGAGAGAGAGATTGTCCAGCCGTTTTGTGATTCCATGGATTGATGAGTCTTCTGAATTAATTTTTTTCTTTATATTTTGGGTATTGGAGCTTTTAAAAATGTTTGGTTTCAGGTATTTTTATTCATGTGAAGTGTATATTCTCTTGAGATAAGGTTTTAAGCTAAAATTTTCCTTGTTTTAGTTTCTGAACTCTACGGATTAATGGGAACTTTGCTGGTGTAGTCTTTTTATAGGTTTTATAAACCACTTGAGCCTATATCAGTCATTTTAGTGTCTGACATAATGTCTGGAGCTATCAGTGCTTTGTTGATTTAGATGATGACGATGACGATGATGATGATGACTTAATATTTTTCCTGATCTGTTTCCTATTTCCTTCTTCCCCTCCCCCCACTTTAAAATTTCTCCTGTAACTTGGCTAACAAAACCAAGTCTGATTCAGAACCTCCCAGAGTGTTTCTCTTGAACATATCATCTGGTGCCAAATGAAAATTCTTAGGAGTGATTATTAATTATGAAGGGCACAGTTGTGGTACTGTCATTGATGATAATAATATAGGTTTTTTTGGCCTAGAGTCTTGACCTATTTCACCAGTGTTTTACCTTTGACTGTCCCTCTATGCTGCTTCCAAAAGTGATAATGTGTGATAATATTTTTACCTTCATTTCTGAAGTTTGTTTTTTTTAAGTGAGTCCTGTTCTTCCTATTTCTTTCAGCAGAAATGAAATCCCAGGTAAGTATTCAAATATTTGATCAGTAAGTCAGTTATCTCTGATACATTAAATAACTTTCATCAAAAAACATGTTATAGGAAAAAAGCTCTAAAGGACCAGATAATGTATATGAGTAATTATTTTTCAGACCTTCTAGGGTATCATGTATAATAACTGTCTTCTGGACTTGATCCTGAAGTCTTTTCGGACTCAGCCTCAGTAGTAGCAAACTGCACTGCTACTTGGTTTGGAGTACAAATTAGACTTTAGCCCTCCTGGAGCTTGAATTTTTTGGTATTAAAAAACCATAGGAATAAAATTACTGAATTTCAACAAAGGATCGAAAGCTTGAGGCTTAAATAAGCCAACATATGAATATGTTTTTGTCTTGCTGTACTGCACATATGCTATCCAGTAACAGGTAATATTTTGTCTGCTAGTAGTGTTCTAGATTATAATGTCTTTCCAAAGTGCTGAGGCAGTGCACCTATTTTGTAGTTGCAGCTGATGCCTGAATGTATCCTAGCTGACAAATTATTGATTAATAAGAACTTGAATTTCTGAAAGATTTATACTATTAACCAAAATCTGAGCAAAGAGTCTCAAGTGTAATTCTAACCAGAATTACATGTTAATGAACTTGTGTACCTTTTAACAATGTAAATCAAGGAATATCAGTTTAGGGATTTCTTAATTTATTTTTTATCTAATTAAGATACCAATTAAAGGTTGCCAGCTTGGTTGCAGATAAATCAATGTTTGAAATTCACCAAACTACTTAATGTGGAATAGGATAATATACTTCCAGTGCCCTCAAGGCTGTGACCTTACAGCCATTTTACATAGCACATCATTCCTCCTATGGGGATGAACCTTTTCGTGGCACGAAAAGTAGCCGCTCTGGTTGAAACTTTGCTTATTGTAACAGGCTTTTGTTTCCAGGTAACATGTCTGTGGAGGACTTATTTCTGAATAGAGATATAGATATTACTGGAAACTAATTGTTTTTTTCTATTATACTCTGCTTTATCAAAGAAGTAAAACATTTAAATTGTGCTACAGAAATTCAGATGTTGTCTTGCGATCTTTAAACAATAAATGAATGATTTGCCCTTAATATGGCTGATGTATTTTGTGTTCTGTTAAATTGAGCATTGGATGGAATAATAGGTTCCTCCAGTGATGAAATCTATATTTCAAAGTTCCAAACAACAGGACCAAATTTCCTTATAGTGCACCCATGATAGTAAGAATTATTTCATTTTCTCAGCCAGGTGTGGTGGAGCATGGGTCAGGTTGGTGTATAATCTATTAAGACTTGAGAACGCCTGAGACTCCCAGCACACTCACTTGTGCTTGTTCCTGTTTAGCTTATAATCATTCTGGGTTCTTCATCTACCCCTGTAGTCTCATTCTTTATGTGGACTGTTCCTTCCCACTTTGCATGGTGATTGAACTCAACCACAGGTATGAGGGAGGAGGATATCCATGTACCAGGGACCAGAACAGGCTGTTCAGGTGCCTGTTTTCACAGAGATATAAACAAGAATTTGTTTCCAATAAAATATCTGGTGCTTTACCTCCTAAGTTCTGTGGACTGTAACCCTCAAAGCCCTAATGTTGCTTGGTGCTTGTTTCTTAGAAGATGGAACAAGAAAGGTGTCCAGTAACTTGGTCATAAATACTTACCACCACCCTCTTGACTATTTATCAGAATCTGCATCAGTTATTTTCAGTCTGCTTCAGCTCCTTCTGCCTCCAGTCTAAAGGAGTTTCTTGTGTACCTTCAATAAACTTGTGTAACTTACCGTTTGATTCCAGTCCTAAATGCAGTCTTTACTTGACGCACATGTTCTTTTTTTAAAATTAATTTTTATTGTAGTATAGTTGCTTTACAATGTTGTGTTATTAATGTGTAATTAATTTCTGCCAAGCAGCAAAGTGAATCAACCATCCAGATGCATGTTATCCCCTTTTTTGGATTTCCTCTCCATTTAGGTCACCACAGTGCATTAAGTAGAATTCCCTGAAGCACATGCCTTTTAATATTAACTGCAGCTAATGTTCAGATTCTTTTCCCAAACCTCTGAGGCACACAGTTATGTAAGCCTCATTTTATGGAAGCAGCGTATAGAGGTAAATTGAAAGTTTCTTGTAAGAGATAAGGTTATAATGATAATCCTTTTTTAACCCAATTTCTTATCAACTCAGAAAGTACCTTTATGTATGTAGATAGGTAGTTTGGTGCTTAAGACTAAATTAGTGCTACTGGAATTTGAATTCTAGCTCCCTGCCACTTTTTAGCCACTGATTGCTATAAAATGAGTACTAACATTGCTTTTTTAAAGTGTCTGTAAGGATTAAATCCAAATAAAATATCTGGAACAGTGTCTAGCATGAGATAAACTCATTGTTATTAATATTTTTAAATGCAAGGATGTTTTATTTGTATTCTGTGGGCCAAATGCTTAATTATGAGATGTATGGGTATTTGTCAGAGAATCAGGCACAATATAGAAGGCATTTGCCTACCTCTGTGTTTTTTTTTTTTTTTTTAATCTACCCCAGTTTGTTTTTCTTGGTGTCAGGAGTGGGTGCCAAAAAGCTTCAAGTTAACTCTTCTTTATCTGCAGAATTCGGGGGGTTCTGGAAGCGGGCATCACCGTTCAGTGTTGCCGGACACTTTCAGGTTGCTGCTTCACTTTTATCTAGGTTTGGCCCCCGCCCCCGCCCCCGCGCCCGTGCCCACGCCCCCACGCCCATCCCCACGCCCCCACGCCCCCATCCCTCAACTTCCTGCGTGATCGGGGGAGGCAAAGGAACCTAGAGGCTTGGGCAATTCAAGCAAGGAACAGGGGGGAGCTCGCTTATCCAAGTCCTTGCAAATGATGAAACTTTGTTTCGGAGGATTTGGCTCAGTTTTTCGCTGTCGCCCCTCAAAATGAAGGATCGCTAAACTACGTGCTCTGTGTGAAATGGCGCATGAACTGTGGAAGTGATAGACGTGATTCCGGAAGCACTGTTTGAAGGCGCCAAGTTTCATAGCCACAAAGTTTGAATCTGCCTGGTGAACACACTGATAGGTGGGTACAGGGAGGGCGGGAATACGTCAGTTCCTACGCCGCTGAGCCCGGGCTCTATAAAAGGGCTTGCGCTTGGCGTCCGTTACAGTTGCTCGGGACCTTGCACACCATCCACTTGTCCGAGGAGAGCAGCGATTGACCAGGCTAGAGGCTGCAGAAGCAAGCAGATGAACGGAGGGTACTGAAGCGAGAGCAAATGTTGAAACTTGCTGAGGTTGAGCAGACTTAAAAGTGAGTACCACCATAAGACCTGGACCTGATTGTCCGTGAGTTTTTTTTTTTTTTTTTTTTGTCCGTGAATCTTGAGACTGAGATTTTGGCAAAATATTTTGCCTGTTTGCACCGAATACTTTTGCAAGAAGGAATTTTTGTGTATGTTTTAGTGATATTAACTCCGCTAAAGATGGGGGATGGGCAAGCAGATATACCAGTTTGGGGCATAAGGAAATAGAGGCCTGGGAGGTGGCATGCAGCTGTAGCGGGGCGGAAGGCTGGCTGGCTGAAGGTTGGAGTATGGAGGTAGGGGCAGGTGGCGGCTGGGTAGGGGTGCATGTGCGTGCCTGCGGGTAGGGTGGGGGAGGGGTGGGGTAAGGTTGGGGAGGGAGGCAGGGGTGTCGATGCCTGATCAGCTAGGGGTGAGAGGCAGGGGCGGGGGGGGGGGGGATGGAGGAGTCGAGTCCCGACTGGTGCAAGACTCACTGCGGGGGCTGGGAGGTGAGATGGGGGGAGGGATCTAGGCCCCTGGGTGAGAGGAGGTGGAAGATGAGGCCTGATTGGTGCAAGGCTGGCTCCAGGCAGCAGCGGGAGAAGGGTCTAGGACTGTTTGTGTAAAGACCTCCTGGGGAGGAGAGGCAGAAACAAGTGGAGGGGGAAGTGTGCATGAGATGAAGTGGAGGTGTTAAGGACTTATTGGTTAAAGACTGGAGGGAGGAGGAGTCGTCTAGGCTTGATTGGTGCAAAGGTGGCAGGAGAGGGAGGCAAATGAGGGGGAGAGGAGACTCGATGCGGAGTGTGATGTTTGAACATAGGGTTCGAGGCCTGATGAGGGAGAAGATGAGAGTAGGAAGATGGAGGTGTGGGGGAGGGTGACCTGATCCCTTGTGGGAGGAGGGGGTTGGGGAGTTTGTGAGTTGGATTGAGGTGTGTGGGGATGTGTGGCCTGGTCTATGTAAGACTAGCTCTGAGCAGAAGTAGGGAGGTAGTAAAGGGTGGGTGGGGGGGTGTGAAAGCCTGATGGAAGACTTTCTTGGGGTGTGAGGTAGATTAGGTGAAACGAAGATGTGGGGAGAGGGAAGAGAGGGTGGTGATGTGTGTGTGGGTTAGGAATACATTTAAGGATGAAAGAGCATTGGGCCAGGGACCAAGTAGTGCATGCTAAAGCCATATAACGGGGAGAAAAGTGATCTGGAGGCTGATGAATGATTGCCCTCGCCTATTTCTGTAATAGGTGGCAGTTGAGGTGACAACATCAGGAGCCCCCATGTGCTTTGGACGTTCTGACTGACCTCCAAAGAATCTTGGTGGGGCAATGTGGGAGAAAAGTCAACAATAAACAAATTTAAATACTTCTCATTTCATGGAGTGAAGTTTTGGTTTTAACTTACAGTGAAGAAGCTTCTCAAAGGTAAATGCAGAGTGTAGAAACATCTAATTGTCTTTGGTTTCTTAACAGACATGGACATGTCCAAAGAAGGGGCTGGCAGTTTGAAGACCGAGGATGATAAATGGTGAGATTTGAAAAAATTGTTTTCTCTTAGTTTAGTCCTATTCTGTTGTCAAACCGATTTTCTCAAAAAATATACCTTTACAGTTGGGGGAACAAGGTCGTGAGGAAGCAGCGTGCGTTTTGCTGCCGCCATTTCTTCTGCCTTCAGTCTCGATCTTTTGTAGAGCTTCCAACAGTGCTGTGTTGGGACAGAGCAACCTCTGTGGTTCGTCGGAGCCACTACGAGGAGGGTCCAGGGAAGAATATACCATTTTCAGTGGAAAACAAGTGGAGGTTACTAGCTATGATGACTTTGTTCTTTGGGTCTGGATTTGCTGCACCTTTCTTTATAGTGAGACACCAACTGCTTAAAAAGTAACCCATGAGGCAGATAGGAAAAGGAACATATTAAGAGGTGCAGTCTCTTAAAAGGATCAAACCCTTGAACTCAGCATCCTAGATACGTTTGTAAATAAACTTATGGCATAAATCCTTAAAAAAATATATACCTTTATGTCTTTTAGAGTCTACAGAATGTATAATTTGGTTAGTCATAAAATGAGAATTGTGAAAAGAGATCTTAGAATCATGGGAGTCCAGTCTCCTATCCAATGCATGAAACCTCTATATAACAGCTCTTTTAGTGGCCAGGAGTATACAACTCCATGAAACAACTTAATGCATTGTTGAACATAATTTCTAGAAAGCTCGTCATTCTGATGACCATCAAGTCTGCCCTCTTGTTATTCGCACCCCATTGTTCTCAGTACTCCCCTCTATAGGTGCATAGATGAAGTATTTTTCTTCTCCATGATAGGTATTTTAAAATAGTTGTCTCATCTCTTAAGTCTTCATTCTCCTGAAAGCCTGCTCTCTTTTTCTCCTTTCCAGCTAAGATAAGCATACAGATAAGTGTATGGTGTGGAAGAAAGTAGAAACCATAGAATAGAGAGTCTAGAAATTGACCCAAATGCATATGAAAATTTAGTTCATGATGGAAAAAAAAGACATTTCAAATCAGTGGGGAAAAGAGATTCACTGACAAATAATTTGAAGATAATTGGTTGACCATTTGGAAAACAGCAAGAATTGGATTCTTACCTCATCACTCCTTATAGCAAAATAAATTATACACATGGATAAAATACTTTAAAATTAGAAGTGAAATCATTAAAAATGCTAGAAAATATAGCTGGATTTTATAATTTTGAAGTGAGGAATGTCTTTCTAAATTTACTATCTTAACAAAAACATAAAAATGAACAAGAAACTGAAAAAATATTTTATTACTTATAATAAAAGGCCATCTTCCTTAGTCTACAAATAAAAAAGTAACAATTAGGGAGTTCCCTGGTGGCCTCGTGGTTAGGATTCTAGGCTTTCACTCTGGTGGCCTTGGTTCATTCCCTGACTGGGGAACTGAGATCTCACAAGCCACGTGACATGGCCAAAAAATAAATAAATAAAAGCAACAATTAAAAGGTGAATGAAGAGAAAATGGGCAGAAGTTTTAGAAGGTAGTTCTAGGGGGAAAAATACAAATGGCCTATAGACATTAAAATTTATTCAAATTTTAATTTTATTATTTAAAGGAAGAATTTTAAACAAGTTACCATTTTTCATGTATCAGATTAGCAAAGATTTTAAAAATTTTAATAATACCCAGTGTTGGCAAATCCGTAGGGAAATTTCATGCAGTCATGGTGGGACTGTAAATTGGTACAACCTTTCTGGAGTACAGTCTGGCAATATGAAAATTTTAAATGTCCATGTCCTTTGAGCCAGTAATTCAACTACAAGGACTTTTTCTTTCTTTTTAAAAACAAGTGGTTGTATCTTTTTGTAGTTCACTCTCAACTTTCTCTTGACTCCTTCCCCCTACTTCTCCCATGTCCCTTCTCCCTGTAACTCCTGCTCATTGGATCACATACAAACACACATAGATTGTTTTGGTCTTTGTTCAGTTCTGTGGACGAAGGATGTATGATTAATTGCTAGTGATTATCTCTGGGAAGTGGGACTCTTGGAAGAACAGGGACAAAGTGTTCCTCTACTCCTCTTTTCAGTGTATTTTATCAGTCACAAAACTGTCTGGTAAACATTTTTTCTTGATAGCCATTAAAATGGGGAGGATTAATAAAAGAATGCAGCAAACAAACATTTGGAAACATATCTTAAGAAGTAATAGAAAGAAATGCTAATTTAAAGTTATTTACTGCTTAAATTAGCAAATTTTAAATATTTAATCTTATTATAGTAATATTCCTGACACTGTAAACTAGTACAACCCTTTGGAAACAAATAAGGAAATGTACCTAGAGCTATAAAATTGGTCCTACTTTAGACCAAGTAATTTGACTTCTGGAACTCAATCCTAGAAAAATCCAATTTATGAAAGTAATTAAATGCACAAAGATGCTAGTTGTGACGTTCAACTAAAGAATCAAAGTAATGTGTGTGTGTGTGTGTGTGTGTGTGATCAAAAATGCACAAGGTAAAGTCCCAGCTCTCTCCATGACCCTCAGTCACATGCCCCAAATAGGGAATTCCCAGGGCACTTGGTTGGCTGGACAGCAACCTGCCAGGCTCTCCACCTGCCCTCGCTGCAAGTTAGGACCATTATGTCTCAGTATCTGGGCACTGTATTTTCATTAATGCAGGTGATATTGTTAGTTGTTTATTTTTGCTTTAGGCTGGCTCTGTACTTTGGGGTGTCTCATAGATGGGCATATATGTGTAATTTTTTTTATTTGGGAAAATTTTTTTTATTGATGAATCATTGAGACAGTATTGCATAGATATTTTAAAAGGCTCCCCCTTTAAAAATTTATTTATTTTTAATTGAAGGATAGTTACAATATTGTGTTGGTTTTTGCAATACATCAGCATGAATCAGCCATAGGTATACATATGTCCCCTCCCTCTTGAGCCTCCCACCCCTAAAGTTGTCACAGAGCCTCAGTTTGAGTCCCCTGAGTCACACAGCAAATTCCCACTGGCTATCTTATTTTATATTTGTTAGTGTATATGTCCCACCCTCTCCTTCCTATCCCTCCCCCATGTCCATGAGTCTGTTCTCTGTGTCTGCGTCTCCATTGCTACCCTGCAAATAGGTTCATCAATACTGTTTTCCTTGATTCCATATATATGTTAATATATGATAATTTGTTTTTCTGACTTACTTCACTCTATATAATATATAATAGGTTCATCCACCTAATTAGCACTGACTGAAATGTGATCTATTTTATGGCTGAGTAATATTCCATTGTATATACTTACCACAGCTTCTTTTTTTTCCATTTATTTTTATTAGTTGGAGGCTAATTACTTTACAATATTGTAGTGGTTTTTGTCATACATTGACATGAGTCAGCCAAAAATATGGAACGCTTCAGGAATTTGTGTGTCATCCTTGCACAGGGGCCATGCTAATCTCTGTATAGTTCCAGTTTTAGTATATGTGCTGCTGAAGCGAGCACTTATCACAGCTTCTTAATCCATTCATCCGTTGATGGACATCTAGGTTGCTTCCATGTCCTAGCTATTGTAAATAGTGCTACAATGAACACTGGAGTACATGTGTCTTTTTCAATTTTGGTTTCCTCAGGGTATATGCCTAGTAGTGGGATTGCTGGGTCATATGGTGATTTTATTCCTAGTTTTTTTATGGAATCTCCATACTGTTTTCCATAGTGGCTGTATCAATTTACATTCCCACCAACAGTGCAAGAGGATTCCCTTTTCTCCATGCCCTCTCCAGCATTTATTGTTTGTAGATTATTTGATGATGGCCATTCTGACCTGTGTGAGGTGATATCTCATTATAGTTTTGATTTGTATTTCTCATGATGTTGAGCATCTTTTTGTGTGTTTACTAGCCATCTGTATGTCTTCTTTGGAGAAATGTCTGTTTAGGTCTTTTCCCCACTTTCCCCCCCCACTTTTTGATTGGGTTGTTTGTTTTTCTGTTATTGAGTTGCATAAGCTTCTTGTATATTTTGGAAATTAATCCTTTGTTATTTTATTTGCTATTATTTTCTTCTATTCTAAGGGTTGAGTTTTCATATATGTAATTAAATTTTTAAGTGGAAAAAATATTACTTAATGAGATCTAATAGACAAAAAATCCTTTAAAAATGAGATTCAATGGGGATGTGGGTGGGAGGGTAGAAAATAATGAAAGGGATCCTTGGAACCACTTTTTGAGATTCATTCATTTATTCAGCAAATATTTATTGAGTACTGACACTGTACTTAACAGTATGAAACAGACACACTTCGAGATCCGTGTACAGGTTACTGTCTGAAATGGGAGATAGACGCATGTAAATAGGCAATAAACAGTATAGTGTGATAAATGTTGTGAAGTACATGACCCTATAGGATCTTGTTTAATTTTCATAGTAGCCCTCTGAGATAAATGGTTCTTTTACAACTGAGGCCCAGGTTTGATTTACAGAAATCTAGGTGAGCAGTAATGATGGTTTAGAGTAGGGTGGTTATAGTGAAGTTGGAGAGATTTGGATAAGTATAGAATATATTATCGCTCAGTTCAGAGACTTTCCCCACATCTTAACATTTCTGAGGCTGGGATGCTTCATACATTTTTTTTTTGTTCCAAAAAATACTTTATTCGTTAAACAATATATCCATCATCTATAACATGATCCAAAAATACAGATATACATCTTTACATTATTTAATAAAAAGATTTATAATATTTCTTTCTTTTACAAAGAGAACATCAATAATAATTCCTTGAAAACACAATGTAACATTCAGGTTAAAGCTGCATCATCTTTTTGGATGAGATGTGGTAAGATGAACACCACAAATACATACTAGCAGGGAGGAAACTTCACAGAACTCTCTCCTGAATGAGAACGCTTTTCTTAGACTTCCCATTTTAAAATTCCTCTCGGCACAGGTGGTGAAAACCAACCACACTGTTCACAAAACGCTGAGGAAAGCCTGAAACCCTACGTGTCCCAGCCCTGCACAGGGCACACCCTGGCTGTG